ACGTCACGGGCGCTTGCGCCGTCCGCGCTCCGGCAACCGTCCGGGAGGGACGTTATCCGCTGGGCGTGCTGGTTTCCTTAGAGACCAGGAGGCCGCTGCAGCTGGATGAGCACAACAGCAGAAACCCTGGAGAAGCCAAGATGCTGTCCAAGGGAAAAGACAAAAGGAAAAGCAAGACCAAAGGCAAAGACCAGAAGTAAGGAGAAGCCGCCCTGAGGTCCCCTCTTCCTGGACTTGCCCTCAGGGGATTTCGAGTCGGGAGACTAGAGCTCTCCTGCCGGTCAGCTCAGATCCCCTGCCTGTGAGAATTAGAGCTCCCATTGTTCATTCTTGCTTGTCCCTAGCCGGACAGATCCTTACTGTGTGATCGAGATGGGTCACACAGTACAGTGAGATTTCTGGGTGATTAGTTCCTTGTGCATTTCTGGAGGTCCTTTCGGTTCAAAGGGGACCAAAGGGTTCAAAACCTAAAGGATTTGACCAAATTGGATAATTGTTGAGGTTTCTCCAAACTAACTGAGCCCCTGATGTGCGTGATGCTGTAGCACTAACCTCTTGCAGACCTGGAGTTACTGCTAGATTGCCATTAGACCTGTTGAGTGAGTGACCCCAGTGGTTTCTGGACATCTTGGAATCATACATGGTGCCTAACTACACCGCATATGCGACCACAAGGGATTCCCCCAACTCGTGATGTTTATGGAGTAACTTAGTAGAGTAATTCATTCTAAATACAGAAAGCTTGGGGAACATGGGAAGTACCAAAGGAGAATACAAATCACCTGTAATCCCATCATCCAAAAATAACCACCAGTATCATTTGGGGATCCATTATAAAATGATAGCTTGATGTACATACTTAGATGTAGCTCTTTTTCTTTTCTTGTACTAATATGTTTTCTTTTACAGTGTCTTTTTTTTTACATAACTGCACAGTTAGTATAGCACTTTTGTAAGTGCTATACATTCCTGGAACTCACTAGCATATATTTTGTATATATACACAATGTACAAACACACATATATGCACTCACACACACACACATATCTACACACTTTTTTTTAGTTTTCTGTTTTTTTTTTTTTTTTTGAAACAGTCTCAAGCTGTCACCCTGGGTAGAGTGCCGAAGGGTCACAGCTCACAGCAATATCAAACTCTTGGGCTTAAGTGATTCTCTTGCCTTAGCCTCCCAAGTAGCTGGGACTACAGGCACCCCCCCCCCAATGCCCGGTTATTTTTGGAGGGGGGGGTTTAGTTGTCATTGTTGTTTGGCAGGCCCAGGCTGGATTATAACCTGCCCACTCCAGTGTATGTGGCTGGCACCCTAGCCACTTGAGCTGCAGGCACGGAGTCAGTTTTCAGTTTTTGTTCATGCATTGTCAGGACACATATGAACAGTGAAAACTCTGAGGGTAACATCTTATTCTTTGGATTTTCTGTGACCCATTGTTTGAGAAACCCAGTTTAATTTCTCCAGTCAGTATTAGTCATCCTTTATTAGAGGTGTCTAATTTCTCAAGTACTCAAAGCCACTTAGACCTTATACCTTCAGGGGCAGTCCATCACTACTGCCTAATTCATGGTGAAAAGGGAGATCAACAGTTGTCACAGGCTAGGAGGTTGGGTGTGGAGCTGGCCTTGAAGAAAGCAAAAGGTGATGGTGGGAGTAAAAAGGGACTGGGACCTGTAGGGTACACACCTGTAACCTTAGCACTCTGGGAGGCCAAGGCCAGAAGATTGCCTGAGCTCACAGGTTCAAAACCAGCACAAGCCAGAGCGAGACCCTGTCTCTAAAAATAGCCTGGCGTTGTGGTGGGTGCCTGTAGTCCCAGCTAATTGGGAGGCTGAGGCAAGAGTATTACTTGAGCCCAAGAGTTTTGAGGTTGCTGTGAGCTATGACGCAACAGCACTCTATTGAGGAGGACAAAGTGAGACTCTCTCAAAAAGAAAAGAAAAAGGGGATTGAGAAGCAGGACTGAGGAGTTGATATGGAAATATGAAAGTTGACAGTATAGAAAGGTCAACACATACCTACCTATGTGTGAGAATATTTAGAATTCAAATATGGGTGAAGTCTTCATATCTGTTATCTAGGCGCCTTTGGCTCAAAGGAGTAGGGCGCCAGCACCATATACTGGAGGTGGTGGGTTCAAACCCAGCCCTGGCCAAAAAACAAAAAAACCCCATATCTGTTATCTATGTATTTCTATAGCTTAGTGCCTACCACATAGAAAAGATTTTAATGCTCAAACAATAAATCTTTATTTTGAAAAATCTCCTATCACTTTAATCTTTAAATCCATCCTTTAAAAAAAAATGTGTGGGCAATGCCTGTGGCTCAAAGGAGTAGGGCACCGGCCCCATATGCTGGAGGTGGTGGGTTCAAACCCAGCTTCCCGCCAAAAACTGCAAAAAAAAAAAAAATTTCTTGGGTGGTGCCTATGGCTCAGTGGGTAGGGCACCAGCTCCATATACCAAGGGTAGGGGGTTCAAACCCAGCCCCAGCCCAGCTAAAACAG